TTTTAAGGCATGTGGACTTCAACTCCCAGAATTCCACAGCCAGCAATGCTGGCTGTGGAATTCTGGGAGTTGAAGTCCACATGCCTTAAAATTGTCAAGGTTGAGAAACACTGGTATAGGGTTTCCTGCCTGAGCAGGGGGTTGGACTAGATCAGGGTAGGCAACCTCGGCTCTTTTATGACTCATGGACTTCAATTCCCAGAATTCCTGAGTCAGCTATGCTGACTCAGGAATTCTGGGAGTTGAAGTCCATGAGTCATAAAAGAGCCCTACCCCTGGACTAGATAGAAGACCTCCAAGGCCCCTTCCAGCTCTCTATTCTGATTAACTAAGGTTGCCTTTCTCTGTACAGTATCTAACATTTCTAGAAAGCATAGGAGACCTTTGCTGTATGTTATTTCCTTTATATTCATCCTAACGTGAATCCTGTGAGGTAGGTTAGGCTGCAAGGTAGTAAAATAGTGATCTACTTCTAGAAGAATATTTTAGAAAGTTTGTGGCAGAATGGAAAATTGAACCTGGGTCTCTAGAAGGAAATCGCTTGTTTTCTTGCAGATGATACAGATGTGGTTTATGCACCACATCAAGGCATGATATGACTTTTGGATGTAGCGTGCTATGTAAACTTGGGCAGCATGGCGTTGGAGATTCATAGTCATCTAGATAGAATTGACTGGAAGTTGGAATGGCAAACTAGAGTTCTTTTCTTAATTGGTTTGAAATATTTCACTGCTTATCCAAGTAGCTCCTTCAGGCTGAGGAAGTCGATAAGGGGGACCCCATTTCTGTCCTCCTCGGGGTGGTTTCATTTCTTGCCTCATAGGATGAATAGAGTTGTTAAGGAGGGTGGGAAGGAAGATACAGAATAATTAAAACTCTTTGGACCACACATTTTCTGAATAGTTTTTATCCCAGAGCTGTAATTGCACTCAACAACGAACTAAAGGGGCCACCATCAGTGAACTGTTGGACAGCATTACTTGGTCTGTTGTGTGGATGTTGGGTGGTTTTAGGGGTGGGGATTTGTGGTGGTGGGGAGTGTGTTTGGGGATTATGTGTGTGGGACTTGGGTTTTGGGTGTCAAGTAAATTTAGTTGTATATGTATACTATGTACGCACATACATTGACAATATAATAAAGAAATTGAAATTTGGGCAATATTGGAAGGAGGATTGCTTGCCTACTATAGAAGAATGGACGCTTAAAGTGTCAACTTTAGCAGAAATGGCTAAGATTTCTGCTTATTTGAAGGATCATTCACAAGAAAGATACATTTCAGTTTGGAGAAGATGGATAGATTATATTCAGAATAAATATGGGACTAAAAAGTTCCATTTAGCCTATGAGTAAATTTTAGAGTATTATTAGTATTAATAGTTTATTATAGTGAAATTTTTATTAGTCTTAATTATATGATATTATTATTTTTAGTATTAGTATTGTTTAACAATATTCTATTGTTTAATAATTAGGATACTAATGTGTTTATGTTTTAATTATTATATTTACGTTAAAGGGGAGTTAAAGCGCATTATGGACTTGGTTATTTATGTAGTTGGTTAATGTTAGTTAGATTATGATTATTATATTTGTAACCCTGTATTCAGCTCTGGAAAGTGAGGGAGGGAGAGGGGGGGGTTAGGGTGGGTTGGTTTTGGGGTTTATATTGTAACTTTTATAAAACTTTTCAATAAAAAAAAAGAAATTGAAATTAAAAGGATAAGGGTTGATATTCCCAAGGTTTCAAACCAAAAAAAGTGCAATTGCCATGATTCAACTTCCAAAAAACTCTATTGTTGTTAAACCTTGTTAAGGGAGTCAAGTCTTACAACTTATGGATTCACATATTCATTCAATCTTTGAGATGTCTCTATGTAAATTCTCACAAATACTCCAGATCATTAAGAGGGTAGAAGTTATTTTGGATTTTTTTTTGTTGCATATTGACAAGATTTGGGATGGTCTTTTTAAATAAGCAAGGAACTGCTGGAATGCAAATATTGAATACTGCCTGTAAAGCTATATCTTTTAGCTCTTGTTTCCGATGGATGCTAATTGTTTCTATTAATTACAATGATTTTGCTGTTTGTCAATTTTAATTCAAGATTTTGTAGATTACTGAAAAAACAGCTTACTAAAAACACTGCGGTAAATCAGATCTGTAGATAATTTTTTTTTTTTTTGCTATAAAATATTGAGCAAATTGATTTTTTGTTTCTTGAATTAGTTTGCTTGGGATTTCATGACTTATAGACTGCTGTAGGTATTTCAGCCTTGATTCTGTGAAACTAATTTCTGTTGTCTTTTCAAGGTCAAAAACAAATGTGGCTAATGAAAAAGGAACTTTAGCAGCTGAAGCTGTTCCTGATAACCAAGATACAGAAATGTGAGTGCTTTTTATTGAAGTCATGAAAGTCATATCTTCAATAATAAATTCTGCATTTCATTGCATATATTCAGCATTTAGCAAACTATGTTTTAATTAGTCATATTGGAGAGCTGCCTTTAGTCTGTACATTGGATTGTCTCCTATTAATACCTTCCCAAATATTGTAGGGAAAAAATGGCTCCTCTTTTAAGCTTACGTACCCGGCGTCAAAGACCTTTTCATTTGGAATTAATACTATTTCTATCTGATAAGCCCAACATTTATGTGGCCAAATTAAGTGAGTTTGGTCCCATTTTATGACTTTCCTTGCCATATTTGTTAAGTGAATCACTGCAGTTGTTAAATTAGTAACACAGTTAAGTGAATCTGGTTTCCCCATTGACTTTGCTTGTCAGAAGGTTGCAAAAGGGGATCGCATGACCCCAGGACAATGCAACCATCATAAATGTGAGTCAGTTACCAAACACCCAAATTTTGATTATATAATCATGGAGGTGCTACAATCGTCATAAGTCACTTTTCAGTGCCGTTGTAACTTCAAGCGGTTACTAAACGAATTGTAAGTTGAGGACTTAGCTCAGGCATCACCTTGTCCTCCTTGATTTCATGTGCTCTGTAAGAAAGTCACATTCCAATAAAGGCAGTTTTCCTCAATTGTATAAACCATGATAGCTGGCTTCCCATATCAAGCCATGATATGCCTTTGGCCCGTGTGTAATTCTAGCCACAGAGAGATGGGTTCTCTATCATGCTTTATAGCATGACACCTCCAAGTAGCCATTTTGCATCCATCTCTATTGAAAAGTTATTGGCATGAATCCGAAATTAATCATCAGTGCTCAACGTTGGTTTGGACTTGCTGGGAGTTGGGTAGAGATGGACAGATCTGCAGTGCTACTAAGGAGTAATTCTTCGCTTTCGTTACCTCAGATCTGGCCCACATTCATCAAAGCACTCCAGGAAAAAAGCTTTGAATTCAGCAAGAGTTGCCGGGCGGCCATCTTCTGTGGCCATGCAGAGCGGCCCTTCCCCAGCTCGGACGAAGGGCGAGAGCCAGACGAAGTTACCCAAACCTAAAATTGATCTTCGAGCCCTCTTTGATTACCACTTCACAAGAAAGCAGCACCGCTTCCGCAAACGACGGACCCCTACGGAGAGGAAAGTGAGTAGACCTCACAAGTATGGCAGAAAATGGCCGGAAAGACACAGAATTCCAGAAGAGGAGCAGAGGAGGAGAATGAAAGACAGAGGAATTGTATTTCCTTTTGTGGAGAAATACTACGGCCGGAAGCACCTTCCTTTAAAAGTGGTGCGAGAATATGAGGTAAATTATACTTCCACACTACTTTTTTTTGGGGGGGGGGGAATGTTCAGTAGGGGTAGTCCTCAACTTACGACCACAATTGAGCCCAGAATTTATGTTGCTGAGACATTTGTGAAGTGAGTTTTGCCTCCATTTTATGACTTTTCTTGCTCCGTTTGTTAAGTCAAGCCCTGCAGTTCTTAAATTTGTAGCACAGTTGTTCAGTGAATCTGGCTTCCCCATTGACTTTGCTTGTCAGAAGGTCGCAAAAGACAATCACATGACGCCAGGATGTTGCAACCGTCATAAATATGAACCAGTTTTCAAGCATCTGAATATAAATCACGCAACCATGGAGATGCTGCAACGGTCATAAGGGTGTAAAAAGTGTTAACTCAAGTTTTTTAAGTGCCGTTGTAACTTTGAATAGTCACTAAACAAACTTGTAAGTCGAATACCTGTAATGTTTTTGCGGCTGTCATCCACACACTTGCTGACCTCCAGATGTTTTTTTTTTTAAATAACATTTTATTAATTTTCCAGTTTTATATTTAAGTATTTACAAAGCAACTTGGTGACTGGGTTAATCAATAGTTCGATAATAAAATCTTTAGTGCAAATCTCAGGTTACAACATCAGATATTTCTTCTCTTTTCCCTTAACATTTACTGTCTCATATTCAAGCTAGTACAATTCTAGTTATATCAACACAATGAAAACATCATTATTACATTTATCAATACATTTTTAGCTTATACATATCTTAATTACATTCAATCTTCATAAACAATCCATATCCTGTTATTAACTTTTGCCCAATTTTTAGTTTCTCATCAATATTCCAATTTAACCTTTCATATTTATAATTTGCAGGCTTTGGGTAACCAACATTTCCCTTGTCTCAGTTCATAACAAAATATAATATCCAAAATACACATTTTCTCTATTTGAGTTTAATCTTGTTCTATTTCCTAAAAGTTGTCTATTTCCCACCATATTAAATCACCTATTTAATAATACAATATCCCCTTTAATAAATCAAACCCATTATGTATATTACCTGGGTTAATCAAACATATTCATGATAATTCATTTTCTTTTCCCTTTTAGGTCTAATTTTTAAATATTAAACAAAATCCTTATTTTCAACTAATTTGCAAGTATTTTAAATCTAATAACCAAAATTCCCCTTATCTCAACATTTCCCTTTAACCCTCTAATTAATAAACCTCCAGATGTTTTAACGGTGGTTAGCATGAGTTGGGAAGGCTGATCTAGGCTCTCAATTGTTTTGTTGAGAATGCTTGGCTGTTTCTTGATTGTGTTGATGGAAGGAAAACTTTGCAGTTGACAATTTTGTCCCCTATTAATTTTTGAGTGGTTTTTAGACATGCACTTTTGTTTGTGGCTGAAAAAAAAATCCTTCTCTCCCAGCATGCAGCTTTGAAGGGGTTTTTCAAATACATTGAAATGCTGAAATATGAACATCATTTGAAGAAGTCCTTGACGCAGTTGAATGCTGAAGGCGATCTTGAAAATGAATGCTTGGAATCACGGCGGCACAAATACCTGGACGACGATGGACCCATTTCTCCCATTGCAGAGACCAAGTAGGTACAATTAGACCTCCTAAGGTTGGGTTTTGCAATCCAAAACCCAGCCACAATTATGTGATTATTGAAGTTTTAATTGAATTTTGCCCTTCAAACAGTCTGATCTTAATAGACCATATGATTTTATCTGATACCTTTTTGTGTAAAGCTTCTGATGAAATTTTACTCAAGGGTCATTTTTCAATTGATAAAAAAGAATCCAAATATTTTCAGGGATTAAGAATTTAGCTGCCCAAAATAAAAATATAATCAGCTTTGTACTAAATGCCCCCTATTCTCTTCATTGAATATAATACAAGTATAAGTAGTCCTTGACTTACAACTATTTGTTTAGTGACGGTTCAAAGTTACACTGGCACTGAAAAAAAGTGGTTTTCACAGTTAATACCATTGCAGCATCCCCCCGTGGTCACATGATCAAAATTTGGACACTTGGCAACTGACTTATATTTATGACAGTTCCAGTATCCCAAGGTCATGTGATCCCCTTTTCTGACCTCCTGACAAGTCAATGGGGAAGCCAGATTCACTTAACAACCATGTTACTAATTTAACAGCTGCAGTGATTCACTTAACTGGCAAGAAAGGGGCATAAAACTCAACTGTCTCACTTAACAACAGAAATGGGCTCAATTGTGGTTCTAAGTCGAGGACTACCNGAAGTGCAACTGCATTGTTTAGTGACAGCTATCCTAGTCCTTGTAGCTGCTGTTAACCGAATCCCATGGAGGAGTGATCGGTCGTAAGTCAAGCGCTATGCATAATTTTGAAAAAATAACTAAAAAAGCCACACATTTCCGACTGAACTGAAGTTGTAGCTTTATGATACAGGTTCTGCAGCTAAGGCTAGAGGTAAAAGGAAAAATGTGAATGGTAATGCTAAATGAAGGCTGGATATTGAGGCTTAGAACATAAATTCAGCTGAAGATGTAATCATATTCTGGAAACATGGTGCCAGAGAAGATGGATGTAAGTCTAATATGATAATTGTTCTGTTTCAGCAACGATGAGGTTTCTGGGAATGAAAACATTGGTGCCAAAATAGTGGTAAGTTTCTGATAACTGAAGCTTGCCACATCAATTCTACTGTCACTCTATCTTGGGAAAATGCATTAGAAATCAGGCCAATGCAAAATTAATTTTGTACGATGTTGTAAAAATTAGCATTCCTGCTTTCCATATTTTTACAGGTAGCCTTGACCTAATGATCACAATTGGAACTAGAATTTCTGTCTTAGTCATTGCCATCACAAGTTGAAACAGACCCAATTTTTATAGCAGTCATTAAGCAAATCCAACTTCCATAGTGGCCGTTTTTTTTCTGGGAATTGGCAATTTTTTTTAGAAATTATGATTATGTGACCATAGGATGTTGCAACTGGTTGTAAATGCGAGCCAGTTGCCAAGCACACAAATTGCAGTTATGACTGTGGGGGGTTACACAACGGTTGTAAGCACAAGGACACTTGTAAGTTAACTTTCTGTAAGGTGTAAACAGTCTTAAAGTCAAGGATTGTCCCTAAATCAAGGCTTATCTGAGCCATCCTATTGCTCATTGTTTTGGATCTTGCAGAATAAGGCTGCACGGCTTGTTGCAGAAGCTAAAAGTGTTAGATCCCCAGTTTTCTGTGTTCAGAATACTGTGTTAGTTGAGGGCCCTGCAAAAATAAGACTTTTAAAAAGGAGATGGAAAAGAAGGAAAGAAAATGGAAATGGAGTAAGTTAGAAGAAGATAAATTAAAATGGCAAGTCTTGCTAGCTAGCAATATCCCCCCTTCTAAACTAATGGACAAGGGGCCCAACCACTAACCCAGGGCATTCCAGGTATTTACCGGTTTCCAGAATGCCAGCAGATTTGCCTGCCTGCCTGCTTGTTTGCAAAATACATTTTTGAAATGAGTTGAGATTCTGCTTAATTGCTCTGATATTGGCGTTCTTTTTCAGTGCCCTGCTGGTTTCTCTTTTCCAGGACAACAGCTGCTTCATATTAAGCAGCAAAATTCCCAAGAAAAAGAAGAAATCGAACGCAAGGAGAAAGTGAGTGGCAACTGTTAGAAATAAGAACTTTTTTTAAAAAAAAAATGGAATACCTAGAAGGCATGCAAATGAAATGTACCATTCTGAAGATCCAAGCTACCTTAATGAAGTCTCTTAGAAGCAAGCAAAATACAAGCCAGGTATTTAGGTTTAATTTTTCTTTCTTTCCTCTCTCAGCGCTTAAGTGTATAATTCTTTCTGAACATCAGACAATGGCTTTTACACCGGTATAACTGCTTTACGTGCACAAAGTTTGCATGACAATGAGCCAATCACAGTTTTGTCGCAATGAGGGCACATATGTTTCATTCACCCTCTTATCCTAATATGTTAAAGGTGTTTTCTTACCACTTAAAATTTGCATTTATGAGGTGTGGTGAGTTCTAAATTCTTGGTAGCACTCACTAAATCCAGTAATCCAGACAACTAGAGCAGTGTTTTTCAACCTTGGAAACTTTAAGATGGGTGGACTTCAACTCTGGCTGAGGAATTCTGGGAGTTGAAGTCCACCCATCTTAAAGTTTCCAAGGTTGAAAAACACTGAACTAGAGGATATGTGTAATAGTGCCGAATATCTGTTGCTCGGGTGTAGGATGAGGATGAAGGTTTGTTCTCTAGGCTTGTGGATTGGTTTCCAAACATTTTGTTACCAGGCTAGGTAACATCTTCAGTGGCTTTTAGGGGACGTCAGTGTTCTGTTCTGTAGGATATATAATTGGATCTACAAGGGCAATTCGTAAATAAGCCTCCGTTTGGTTATCAGTGACAGACACTTGGCAGACACAGAACTTTTATTGTACACATTAGAAAACTACAACATTACATTACTTTTCTACATAATCGCCATTCCAATTGAGGCACTTGTCATAAAGTCTTACAAGGTTTGAAATTCCTTAGTAGTGGTCGCTCAATGCCAGATCTGGGTTATGGAGGGAGGTGATTAAAAACATCCCAACGGGAACTGCTTCAAAAGTTCTTGGGTGCGTCTAACGGTATGCAGGTGAGCATTATCGTGAACCAACATCACACTGGAAGTCAGCGTGCCCCGATGCTTGTTATGGATGGCTCGTCTTGAGTTTTCATAACAATTCACAATAGACTTCAGAATTGATGGTCGAATCATGCTCTGTGAACTTCACTAGCAGTTACTCCTTTGGCATCTTCACATTTGGTGGGATTTTCTATGGCACCACTTACCGGTGTGGTGTTGGTTCACGATAATGCTCGCCCGCACACCGCTAGATACACCCAAGAACTTTTGAAGCAGTTCCGTTGGGATGTTTTTGATCATCCCTCTCCCCATAGCCCAGATTTG